GCTTCTGGTGCACTCATCACCTGCACAGTGAACACTGTACTGAATAATAACCTACCAGTTGATAGTTATGTTATAGCACTAATATATAGCCCAAACCATTTTTTTCTTTGATTCACTTGAGTTTGCCTCAGAATTTGTGTCAGCAATTCTAGAGTTATTTCCTAGTTTTAGAACACTGTATGTCTATGCATTATTGGTGTGTTTTATTATTAAGTGTTTTACTTTGGAAACTATTCTTGATACTCAAAGGAAAAATATAAGTTATCTTTTAAATGTTAATATTTTAGAACATTTTTAAAAACTAGTCAACAGCCATGAAACTAAAAGGTATTTTTCTGAAAAACATGAAGAGTTTTTTCTTTATTCTTCAATAAAAGAAGACCCTGAAAAGATTGAAGTTTTGGATGTAAGACAAAACAAGTGAGTTGATCAAAACATTTTAGAAAGTATAAAGAATGGAAAATAACAGGAAAAAAAATCACATTATGACCTATCAATCAAATATCCCTCAGTACCATGTCTTGAGAACATTTTGATCTTAATAAAGAACATCATTAAAATTCTCAGTGATTAAATTCTAAATTTAAAAAGTAGTACAGTAGAAACATCTTAAAACATCAATGAGCAAAATTAAATTTCATGGCTTACTTCAGGACCAATGTAATTTCTCATAATACTGTATCTTAATGAAACCTACTTACCAAAGTAGGTCAGGCACTCAAAACATCTAGACAATAGAATACTTCAATATTTTTAGATGTTTTCTATTTTTCTACTTAAAATAGAAACAGAATTACCTGCATGTGTAGCTGATGTCATCTTTGGACAACTTGGTGAGTAATAGATAAGCTGTGTAAATAGAACAATCAGATCTACGAGGGATACCAAACCTTTAAAAAGAAAATGAAGAGAAAATTAATTTCTAACACATTCTTTCAACTTAGAGAAATTTCACTGAGTTTTCATCCATCTATATAATTGAGTTTTTGTACAGACTATTGGGCAATCAGGCAGAAGGGAGCTATAATCTCAGATAGAAGACTCCAGAACAAATTACATACAAATTAAAACACAGTAAGGCAAGCAATGCTCTAGGTGCTATGTAAAGATACAGTTTTACCATTTATTTTGAACCAATCACTTAAGATAAACCTATGATAGAAAGATGTATGAATCTGATCAAGGCTATTTGAGTTTATTCAATTAGAAGTAGTAAAATTCAGCTTGCCAAGTTGGTCCAGCTGACTTATCTACACAAAACTGTAGAACAGGCCGGGCACAGTGGGGCACGGTGGTTCAAGTCTGTAATCCCAGCACTTTGGGAGGCCGAGACAGGCAGGTCACGAGGTCAGGAGATCGAGGCCACCCTAGCTAACATGGTGAAACCCCGTCTCTACTAAAAAAATACAAAAAACTAGCCGGGCGTGATGGCGGGCGCCCGTAGTCCCAGCTACTTGGGAGGCTGAGGCAGGAGAATGGCGCAAACCCGGGAGGCGGAGCTTGCAGTGAGCTGAGATCCGGCCACTGCACTCCAGCCTGGGCGACAGAGCGAGACTCCGTATCAAACAAACAAAAAAAAAAAACTGTAGAACAGGGCTTAGCAAACTTTCCTCTTTGAAGAACTAGAGAGTAAATATTTTAGATTTTGTGGCCAAATGGTCTCTGTCACAAATACTCAAGTCTGCCGTGGTAGCACTAAATATATGTAGATGATATGCAAATAAATGAGTATGGCCATTCTCCAATAAAACTCTGTGTGCACTAAAATTTAATGTATATTTCTCACATATCACAAAACACCCTAATTTTTTTCAACAATTTAAAAACATAAAAACCATTCTTAGCTCACAAGTGTACAAACAAGATAGTAGACCAAATGTGGCCCATAGAAAAAATTTACCAACTCTTGCTATAGAGGTTTACATTAAAAGAGTCTGGTGAAATCACATGTGAAACTTAAAAGTGACTGTTGACCTAACATTAGTTTAACATAGTCTAACATAGTAGAATAAACCTCTAGAAACTCAATTTTCAGGTGATCTATAACATCTGGTAGGCCAAAATGTAGATGTTAAAAGTCAATACAAAATGATAAATAAATTATAGATGACAGACATATAAATGTAAGCTGAACACTGCACCATCACAAGTATACATTAGTATATTTCTGTAAAGTTCAACAGTATCCTGTAAAATGATAGCTCTTTTATTAAAAGTCAATTATCTACTGAGTGCTCATTATGCATACAATTATGTGGCACTACCATGGGAACTACAAGAGATGTATATAAGGCAATGTTTTTTCTCAAGGAGCTCACAATCAACTGAGAAGAAAAGATTTAGAGAAATGAAAAAAGCTACAAAACAGTATAAAAGAGTATTCAAAATAAATATACTTTATACCAGGGGTCAGCAAACTATAGCCATTGTGGACTGATTTTATAAGGCTCACAGGATAGGAATGGATTTCACATTTTTTAAATGTGTCAGAGGTCCTCAAAACCATGCCCAGATTCAATGATTCACTAAGAAGACTCGGAGGGTTCAGCATATAATTGTATTCACAGCTATGATTTACTGTAACAAAAGGATACAAAGCAAAATCAAAGCCCAAAAGTGCATGGGGTGAAGTCCAGAGCTAACTAGTATAAACTACTAGGCGTCCTTTCCTGGTTGAGTCACAGAAAATACACTTAATTATTTCAACAGCAAGTTATGACAACACATGTGAAATGTCATCTACCAAGAAAACTCATTAGAAAACCAGTCCTTTAGGTTTTTGGGGGATCTAAGTATGTAAGCACACTCTACCTAGCACACGTCAAAATTTTGAACTCCCAAAAGAGTACCAGATACTCTACATAATTAACATTGTACAGTTTAGGCGGTGATCAGTGCACAGTTTAGGCACTCATCGGTTCTAGAAACAATAGGAAATCCAAGTTCCTAGGTCCCAGCCAAGGTCCAACCTTGCAAACAGGCCTTTCTAAGGATAGCTGTTTCAGGCCTGCTGCATTAACTCTTTTTTTGTACACACAGAGAGAGAATATACAAAAGTAGTATGTGGCCAAAACAGCCCAAAATATTTACTATGTTACTATGTGGTGCTTTACAAAAAAAACAACAACAACAACAACAAAAAACCGTTTTTTGGTGGTTGCTGTTCTCTATTTTCTTCTTTGTTATTTTTAATTTCCTTAAGAGTTTAAGAATATACTAACAGCATGTGCTGAAGTTTGACAGGAAAAAAGTAAATGAGACTTAGGGTAAAAATAATATGGTAATATATAAAATGACACAGGGCTTTGCAGTTTATAAAACAGTATTTGCAAACCTCAATTTCTCTGTGATCACAAAAATTTTGTCAGCCAAATATTACTGATTTCACAATTCAATTTTTACAGATAAAGAAACTGAAACAACAAAGGTTAAGTGATTTTCCCAAAAGATCACAACTAGTTTATAATGGAATGAGAACTTAAGGTCTTCTAGCTCTAAACCTATATCTGGATTCCTAAAGGCTGAAGGAATAATAACAAAAACAAAAACAAACAAATAAACAAAAAATACATGTAGGAAGAAGTACACACTGAAAACTAAAAGAAAACAAATACTTCGAAGTGTATAAGCTATCAATAGACTAAAAGGTATGTAGCTAATTACCGTAGAAAGGAACATGTCAAATTTCCAAGTTTGAATACTCCATCACATATAAATCTTAGCGTATCTTAACAAAATTTATTTCTCCTAATTGTACTTACCTTTTTTATTCTTCAGCTTAATAGGAAATAATTTTCTGCCTTGTTTATAGATCAATAATCTTCCTAAAAGGCACAGTGAGTGAATGAAATAAATATATTGTAATTCTTGTCCTAAGTAGTAGAAAGTTTTCTGCTTTTTTCCTTAAAAGAGAAGCAAACAAGAACATTTATTTAGCGTCATTATATTTTACAGTACCTGTCTTCATTCCCTTCTAGACATTAAACAAGGCTACAGGCTAGAATGGAGACACTGTTGGTCTAAAATTTTTTAATTATTTATTTTCCTTATTGTTTCCTAAGATCCTTTACAATAAATTCCCAAAGAAAAGCAATCATCTTAAAAAGCAGCCTCAGAAAGGAATAGTATACATATAGTGTCCATTCTAAAATAAATACCATAAGATTGTCACAGTTATCTGTCACTGAAGAGGAACTTCAAAAGTAAGTTAAGGGCAGAAGAAAATTAATAGAAAATGTTAGTTACTGTTTAATTCCACCAATTAAAAGCCAATATTACAAAAGATCATATTAACAAGCACACGTCTAAGTGAAATTAGAATCTCTAAGATATAGACATCTCCCAATATGTATTTGTCATTCACTTATTCACCTGCACATTCAAAATCTGTTGAGTACCTATTTTATACAAGATCCTGAACACTAGTGTCAAAAACCATTAAGAACCCTGAAACTGGGCTTCCAATCCAGAGTATGACAAATAATCTGATCCGACCAGACCATGAGGAGAACAAGTGGAAGAGAAGGGACTAGAAGGGGCAGATCATGGAGGGACTTAGCCTCATAAGGAATCTGGACTTTATTATAGAGGCAGTTGGGAAGACATCAAA